CACTTGTTTACCTGTCCACTTGTTTACCTATCCGCGAGTTCATCTGTGTACTAGTCAGCTATTAGCAAAAAATAACTAATTATACAAATAAAACAAAATTATTTTAATTTTGCGGTCTCAACTCAAAGAGATGTATCAGCTTCATAATCCAGGCTTAAAATCTTCTTTCAGATAGTCTTGATATCGTTTCAAATTGCCTCTAATTAATCTATCCAAGCTTTACTTAAAGATGTTTTTAATTATCACTGCTGGCTGTATTTTGATACAACTTGTGGAATTTCTTTTGCACTGCTCTCGATACATAATGGATCCAATTATTTCACAACTATTGAATATAATTTGAAGTTGGTAATAAAATTATTTATGGACGAATAATAATTTGTTTAATTTACTTTGAATAAAAGAAGATGTAGGTGTCGATTTCTGAATTGTTTATATATTATTCATTGGACTTTCATCAAAAGCATAGCAATAGTTCTAGGTTCATCATTTTTCGGAATATAATTTACCTCATATATATCACAGATTATAACACTGCCATTGGTGTTGGAACATATACTAAACTTCATAAAATCATTAATTCATAAACAATTATAAATGAATGCTGTATATAACCTTTATTTATGGATGCATAGATAGATGTGTGCCAAATTTAAAATACTATTGTATATTTAATTTAATTTTTTCTATATTCACATTTTCATTATATTTCTAATCTAATATCCCCAAATTTCAACTAAGAAGTTAAATCCTTTGCCAGTCTGAGAAGATAGGAGTAAAGTTACATTTTTCCAACCAACTCCACCATTGACAAGAGTGGCATAGCCTCCTTGGCCATTTACATATTGGTCCAAGGCACGGACACAGCTGATTGTGCGATTATTTCTTGAACCCACTGTAATAATAATTTAATTTCAATTAATTATTTTCCAAAATAATAGGTATAAAATACATATCTTGAAAAAAACTTTACCGATAAATATAAATTATTAGAAAATGAGGTAGATCTTACTAAAGTATTATCCTAATTTATTTTGATACTTTCAATAAACGACTAATATTTGATATTTTTTTGAATATTATTAAATATCTAAAGCATAACTTCAAATTAACATTAAATACACTTTTTTCATCTAATGTTGGATATTATAGAATATGTTTTATTTTCTATAAATATATTTATCATGATATACTAATACTTTGTATTGCAATGTCACCTTATAGTCTAACCAAAAAAACGATTCCAATATAAATGAAGGATAATAATTTAAATTAAATGTAATATTAATGATAAACTCTCGATGAAGGTTTTTCTATTTCAAAAGTTTTAATGGTCATTTGGGCAAAAAATTGGTCTAGATTAAAGTTATTACTATCTTAAACTACTACAAACAAATTTAGTGTTTTTAAAATGTAATTCGTAAAATTGTATTAAAATCATTTATCTCCTGTTTTGCTTTTAAGAATGAATGAAAAAATATTATTACGTTACCGACACTAAATTTGAAATTGCGTATATACAAAATCAGCACAAGCTACAAGTATAATTCATTAATGTATTCAAAGGTACAAAAAAATATTTTAATTTTACTAGATTTTTTTAAGAATCTGTAGTGATCATTTTTTTTTCCTTGGCGAGGTTTTACCAAACAAAATGTGATTTTTATTAATTATAAATTTTCTCATACCTGGTGGAAATGACACCTCTCTAGTAGCTTTCCTGAAAAAGTTTCCACTCTTGGATTGGACTTGACGGTACAGCAAAACGTTTCCATAACTTGGGTATCCTACTTGAAAGTGATGACTATTGTTGGTACTGATTGCATTTGGTCCAAAAATCTCAGGCTTATAATATTGGCCCACAGAAGAATATCCTGGTCTGTACTGAGAAAATGCGTAAGGTGGTGGATGGTAATCACAGTTTGCCCATTGGACAATCGAGATGGCCACCAAAAATATTACAGCTTTCATTTTAGTCACTTGGTGAAATATCACGAATTAAAATATTTCAACCTTCGCAAAAGGAGCTTGTGATACAAACTGCGTTGTACAATATCATATGGTCTGTTCTTTATTTATAGAATACATATGCACATCAAAGATAATGATGTTTGCATTCATAATATTTTTTTTAAATTTTAAACTTGGACATGTTTAATGCTGTAATTAATTAAGTACGTCATATCGCAAATATCGTCGAAAAAGTGGAATAATTTATAATAGTGCTAGAGTCCTAGGAGTTGACTGGGGAAATTGACTATTTATCACTCTATCTAGTCAAAAAATTTAAAACAATAAATTTAATTCTTTGCTAAAAAAAACCTTTGTGAATTCTGTCTATTTTATTAATTTTTTTTGACAAAAACACAGTTTTATTATTATTTAGATATCTCGTGAATAGCAATTATTATCAAATTTTGAAATTTTTCTCATATTCTATTGATTTTCTTTATCGATCGTTGAAAATATGATACCATTTATAGCATAATTATTATACTATTATACAGGATTTTTTTAATTGTTACTAAATATTGTCAATGGGAAAAGTAATTTCACATAAGATACATCTTTATAATGAGAGCTTTATTATTATAATATCTACTGCTTCTATTTTATAAAATTATAATAGCAGGATTTTTTTTACATTATTTCTATTAACTTTTCAATAATATTTATAATTTTTTTTATAAAAAGTATTTTATTTCAATTGTTTTATTAATCGGAAAGGATCATTTAATACCTGTGACGCACCAGAATAATTTTACTATGGAAACGCTTACAAATATTATTTTTTAAATAAAATATACAACTTCTACAACTCTCAGTAAAAGAATCTAATGCAGTTCTTATAAGACTTCTATCTTTTTAACAGCTGATAAAATTGTGAACCATCTAATATATTTTCTGAATTTCCAATTTTCAGAGTATGCCTAATGTGTCTTTGTTGGCAAATTCAGAAATTTAAAATATCTTATTGAATAAATATTTAAAAATTAAATTTACTAATGTAAATAGTTGCACGACCCTGATGTTTTATCAATATCATCTACTGTGGTGTAAAAACCTGTAAATGATGTGCAGAGTCTTTCTGCTACTGAATTTGATCTTATAAATGATATTATATTCATTAGTATAACTTAAGAAAATAAGTAATTACAGAAAAATGTTAATTTAACTTTTTTGCTTTTATAGTTTTTGTATCTTTATTTTCAAAATCAATTTCTAGATTTATTTATTGAAATTTTATGATATAATTTACAGACAAAATTCTGGAATTTGGAGCATATTTAGGCTTGATTTAGAAACGTAAAAACTGCATGGTATGAGGAATATTAATAGTAATTAATATACCAGTTATAGTATAGAACGATTTATCAACAAGCATTTTATTTCCGGAATTATTTATAATATAACAATGTAATTATTTCTGAGTTTTGTTTTACTGTTTGTTAAAACAAGAGGATTTCCGTGGAGAATTTTAAAAACATCACTATTTATAGGTTTTGTTAACAATATAAGTGACCCGCATGCACGATTCGATTCGCGAATAATATATGAGCATATATCACAGAATTTGACATTTTAATACGTGTTATGTTTATTAAAATAACGCCATAAAACATGTGTAAACTTATAAGTGTTGTATTAATATCCTGCTGTGCTTGTAATAAATATATTACATCGAACAAAATCTATCTACAGACATATTCGTGGGGTAATGGAAGAGCTAGCAATTTTGAACCCAAAAGTTGTCATTTTATTCAAATTGTCTTGTTACTAAAAAAATAATATAAATTAAGTTAAAAATTGTAATCATGTCTATGTATATGATTTTGTTAAAAAAAATTATTGTTACTCAGTCTAAAACTTGGGCTGCAATGTTACTCTAGTATTATGATATACAAACAGGTGAAGAAAAATTAAGGGTTATTATTAAAATTCAGTATTATTAAATAATTTAGCAAAGACATTAACTTATTGAAACAACTCTATGAGCTTATTTCATAACTAATTATTAGGAAAATTTACATATATATTTTCTTACTTATAACCTCTGTAATGTAACGATTATTTTTGGATAAGTTTGATTACTACAATACGTATGTGCAAGATATGAAGACCATTGTTTGTTAACATAAATTTTAAATAATTGTGATTCAGAAAATAGCAAACATGGTACTATAATTCATATCACATGATCTAAATTCCAAGATAATATATATATTAATCGTTTCGCACAATAATGTAACTACAATTGCGAGAATAAATCTTTTTGATAACTAATAACTTATAATATTATAGAAGGATGTTGATCAAGTTTTCGATCTACATCCTAAAATCGTCAAATAAAAGATTAGCATACCAATTTAAAATATGTATATAATCTTAGACTCTTGAGACAAAAAGACAAAATTTTATGAACAAAATCTAATACTCTAAGACAAAAAATCCTATTACTTAAAGTACATCACAAAAAGTTTAAAAATGAGCTTTATGTAGTTGTTTCTACATAAGGTAGAAATGCTATTGGGATTTTTATTAGTATTTTTTGTTATAAGTACCATTTACATTATTAAGTACTTATAATAGCACTCGCTCTCTCACAAATACTCTTTATACCATCTATAGTTTAATACCGACTCCGACCTTGTATTTTACATACTCTCAATATATTTTTGTATAAATTGAATAGATAATATATTACTCATGTCAGTTACTAAATTATTTCTTTAATTATAATTTCATTAAAACAAGTTGTCAGATGATAAAATCTGTACTCCAAGCCGATAAAATAGGCTTTTTTCCTTTATTCTGCGTGAATTTATGAATTGTAATTAACCTCTTGTACTGAGGGTTATATAAATTGTATCTTGGTAAAAATTTAAGAGAAAAGTGCAAATGGTAAAGGTCACAGTTGTTTGTAATATTCTTTAATCATTATATTAACACGAACGGTTTATAAGTACTTTAGAAAAAGTACATTAATATTTTTTGTATAAATGCAATTATTTTTTATTACTGCTTATATGTTGTTTTTGTTTTGGATTCCAACCACCCACACATCTGCTTTTCTCATTTTGTGGACTAAATGTTCAAAAAGAATCCACTTAGAAACCTCGTTCTGTAATCGATCATGTGCTGGATCTAACAAGAATTCTGGTGGTTCCTTATTTATTAATTTGTATCCTTATTCTATATATGGGGGTGTATATTTTTATAATTTGCGGTTTGATATCTAATCTATAAATTAGGCCTCGTTTTCTTGCAAAAGGTGTTTTCGCTAAACTAATATTTGCTTGGGGCGCATTTAGCTTCCAATAAATAACAAAGAATCATTCTTCGCGGTATAGAAAAATTTATTACTATGCCAGGTATTTCTTTTGTTTTTATATATCCGCACATTCATATTGTCTAGAATCTCTTCGTATTCTAGCATTATTTATTAACACGTTAAGTGCCACGTTAGTTATGTTTCTGACGCTAAGCAGTTTTACGTGAGCCATACGTATTATGTAGAAGGTCTTGTCAGTCCTAGATGTCTGACACAAATGATTCATTTCCAGTATGTTCCGGAAGCTTGGCCTATCAGGAACAAAATCTGATAATTTGAAACCAAATCCAAACGCTTATGGAGAAAAAAAGTTTAATATAGGGCCATGTCAGTCATATATGTGTGACATAAAAAATAGTATTCTTTATGGAATTTGGGGAAAAAATTGATACATTAAGTTTTCTTGATACATTTGTCACTAAGTTATCTAATAAAGTAACCATGGCCCATGTGAAAATTTGTCTGATATTATCGTTGCGATTACATGTTAAGTCAGAACCAAAAATTATTAATAATTTAGAATACATAAAGAAAATAAAATTTCAATACGACATACTTACTAAACGCAGTAAATAATTGGTTAACTTATATAAATGACCATCGTTAACTATCTTTTCAAAATTATATTTAAAATGTAACATTATTATAGGCGATATAGACAAGCTTGTTAGAATGTAAATATATTGGTAATATTCTTAGAGCAAATAATTTAATATTTTTACTGATTACTTTCTCTATAAAATATATAAGCTCTATAAAAATATATCGCAAAGCTTTTGAAAATTTAAGTTGACATACATTTAATTGTGCATTTTGTATTTTAATTTAATTTAATTTTATAAAAATTTTGGTTTGCTAATTCACTCTTAGCAAATATTATACTGCATAATTAATAGAAATTTGTGCTATGTATATCAACAGGAACTAAAATTCAAAAACAGTTGAACAGAGACACTATGTGTATAACCCTCTATAAGCCAAATTTTTATTTTACATAAAAAAAATGGCAGGCACCAAAATCAATAATTGTAAATCTATATATGCAAATGAAAAACAAAACGTTTAAACAAATTTTTGGGATTGAAAGAGTTATGTGAGGTTCAAGTCACAGCCTATGATGTCTGTGCTTGTGTATGAAAATGTCATTTCAGGCTGAAAAGCTTAGCAAAAATCATAAATAATGATATTTTTTGCCTTGACAACATTATAGAATTCACATTTATGAGTGAGTCATCTCAGGAAAAAAGTTATAATTATTCGGTAAATTATCGCTAGTTAAATATTTGGTGACCTAAAAGTGACCTGAAAGTTACGCGGTCCAGAGAGGGTTAGATAAATATTGTCTCATTTTGTGATAATTGATAGATATGCTTTTAATTTTTTATTTTTAAATATCAATTAAATTTTGTAGGATTTTTTAGACATATCAGGTGCTTGAGTGCTGCAATCATTATTTTTTCCTGATGTATATATCATACAGATTTGCTTGCAAGGTAATAAATTAAATTCATTTACCGTAATAGGAAACATTTGCAGGAACTAAGATTGAAAAACTGTTCCACACTAAAACGACAATCAAATATTCCTTAAGCAGAAACTGTGTAATAATAGAAATATTTTTCTTCTCAGGGATAATTAATAGATATGCATTTAATAATTTTATTTTTAGGTATTATTTAAATTTTGTAGAGATTGAA